ACCGTGCCACCATTGCAGATCTACGAAAAGAAGTCCTTCGTCTCACCGCAGAGTTGAATGAGAAACAATCTCTAGTGTCCAAACTTTTTGAAGTCGCTGGTGGGCAGCATTCACGGCTGATGTCACTGAGCGCTGCATATTGTGACACTGTCGTGTGGGAGAGATCCGTCAGCTCCGGACCCTCCTGTTCTACACCTAAGCGCCCGCTTCCGAATAACGAGCCCGCGGATTCCGAGGAGCCATCCTGCGCCGTGGCCCATGTCCTGAGTCTGGCAAACCGCTATGCAGCCCTCTCCACTGACATCCCGGCCCCCTCAGCAGAATCCCTGGACACTGCAGCGTACTCTACTGCTCGAGGATCCAAGTCCACTGCGAGGAAAACGCTCCTAAAGGAAGCAGTCCTCAGGCGAAAGAGCGGTCCACCAGCCATGTTGGCCTGTTCCCCTTCTTTGACCCCAGTGCAGCAGCCTCAGACTGGGGTAGCGAGCCATCATCACCACCGCTCACCTCCACCGGGTCAGCAGCAGCGTCCAGAGCCAGCCCCTCTCACCGCTCCAGCGTCCCCGAGCACACAGCGTGGGTCGCCTGTAGCTGAGAGTCAGCACCCCCGCTCCTCCTCTCCATGTGTTCAGCGGCGCTCAGGCTCGGGTCCTGCTTCGGGTGAACCCGCTGGTTCCGTCCACCGAGCTCCTTCTCCGAGGCCACTCTTCGCCCCGACCACTCTGATTATTGGAGATTCCATCGTGAGGCACGTCCGCTTCTTTAACGCGGTCACTCGCTGTATTCCCGGAGCTACTGTACCAGACCTGCTCATACGTCTCCCTCCTCTGCTTCAGTCCCTGCCTGATACCGTTTCCAAGGTAGTCGTGCATGTGGGAATTAACGACATGAAACTTCAGCAGTCAGAAGTCACTAAGAAACATTTTATGGATCTGTTCCACCTCCTTCAATCCTCCGGACTATCTGTTTTTATTTCTGGTCCAATCCCGACTGTAAACAGAGGTGACTGCCTCTACAGTCGTGTTGTGGCGCTGCATATGTGGATCCAGGCTACATGCAGCTCTTTTAACTTTGTCTTTGTGAATAACTTTGCCCTTTTCTGGAAACGTTACGAAGCCTATCGTCCAGACGGATTACACCCAAACAGATACGGTAGCAGCCTGTTGATGGATTACATACGTTATGTTGTTCAGCGTTCCCCGAGGGGGGCGTGACTGTTTACATCTGAGCCCCCTCGGACCCCACCGCACTCCCCCGCCTCCTGCTCACCAGCACCGAGTGAGTACAACGGTGCAAACACTGCTCCCTGTCCGTCTGGCAGTGCATTACCAGTCCAAACACTGAACTGTGCTGACTCCCTTCTGACTCTGGGAGCTAAAGAACAACAACAAGGGTTTTCACATTTTGGGCCAATTGAGACTGTGTGTGTTCCTCGCACCAGCTCAAAAATGTTTTTAAATTCTAAAAAACGAAATCAAAACAGGACAGCAGTTAGACGGTCCAACTCTGCAAATCTAATTTCTGTTCCCTGTAGAAATCAATCAACCACATTAATCGACTCTGACGTTATTTTTAAACTTGCTATGCTTAATGTCAGATCTCTATGTAACAAATCATTTTTAATTAATAATTTTATCACTTCTTATGATCTTGATTTTATGCTTATGGCTGAAACATGGCTCGACCAAAATACAGGAAATGCAGTTCTAATAGAAGCAACACCACCCAATTTTAAATTCGAATCCGAAATACGAGAAAACAAAAGGGGGGGAGGCATAGCTGCAGTTTTTAGAGAGCACTTTGTCTCCCATAGAATGCCCCTTGGAAATTTTTCATCGTTTGAGTATATTTCTTTTAAAATGGAACAAAAGCAATCTTCTACTCTTTTCATTGTCCTGTACAGGCCACCACAGTCATGTTGCGATTTTATTGACCATTTTACTGAACTACTTTCATTCGTGTGCACAGATTTTGATAGTTTAGTTATTACAGGTGATTTTAATGTACATGTTGATAATGTTGATGACAGAAATGCAAAGGAGCTGGCTTCTGTATTTGAGACCTTTGGTTTCATTCAGCACGTGAGTGGCCCCACCCACAGCAGGGGGCACACTCTTGACCTGCTAATTACAAAGGGGGTTAATGTATCAAATGTTAATGTAGTTGATGTTGCTTTGTCAGATCATTTCTGTGTATTTTTTGACATGTGTTTTGCTAGCAAACCACCAGCTGAATTTACAAATGTTAGAAGAAGACACATACATGAAAACACAAGTGAACTGTTCATGGGAATGCTAAATTTTGAGAAAACTCCATGCTCTACTGTTGATGAATTGTATAACTCTGTCACCACCAGTGTTCTGACTGTTCTGGACGCCATTGCTCCTGTGACGGTTAAAATAGTTACCAGTAAGAAAAAGGCCCCATGGACTAAGGCAGACTCGGTTAGGGCACAGAAGCAAGAGTGCCGGAGGGCCGAACGGAAGTGGCGAAAGTCCAA